TGTCCAGACTTCTTCTCAGTTACAGGTGGGAAAACAATCTTAAGTAAGGCTGAAGATCACATGCAGTGGCAGTGCCATGATTTAAACCCAGTCTCCTAATCCCAGTCCTGTGCTCATTCCATTAGATTACGCTCATACCAGTTTGATTTCGCTCTTTGAGTTGTATAACCTGTTGCCTTCATGTCAATATTTTCATAGTTTTCATATTCTCAGAATGCTTGCAAGTGAAATTGAACTTGAACAGGGTGATTGGTAACCAGCACATGCTGCTAACAGGATTGTGTTCTTGTCAACAAATAAGTCAGAATCTGCATCGTTTGGATCATAGCCTTTAGATCACATAATCCCAAGTCTGTCATACGAAAGTCAGTTCTATACCTCAGGCCAAGTAGTGACTTCTTACTTATAGTCAAGTCTTTCAACTGCTAATAATCAAGGTTCATTGGCAAGTTTATTGTTACCTTTTCTTCTGCGTGGTGACAGCAACTCTGAATTAGTTGGCACAGAATAACCACAGAATAAAAAGTGACACACTTTCTCCCAGTTACTGTAGACCACTTCCTAAATTAGCAATTTATCAGCTAAATACAAAGGGGAGCTTGACACTATTAACTGTCACAAAATACATTTTCTTGAAAGAATTTAGAGGAGCATTAAATCCTCTTGTGAATATCACAATATTGCTAATCTGAGTAAAATATGGTATAGGGAGAAATAACAGTCTATATTTTAAAGCTATCAGAGTGAAATTCATGACAGTGCAAAGGACCAAACAAGGGCTGATGTACACTTAAGGCCTTGGTGTGAAATTCGCTTCGCCTCTATAAAACCTGAGAAATTGAACTTTATGCCACACTCCTCTCCACCCCCTTAGCGGAAAATTTCTCTCCACAAGGGAATCAGGTGAAGGAAACTTAGTTTCTACAGCAGGTTTCACCAGAGTGCAAACAGGGCAAAATAATAATGCAGGTGAATTTCTTTTCTTTTGATTCTGGCTGCTAGAACTCCTGGCATTTACTTGCATAGTACACTCAAAATGAGGGGGAGTGGCTGAAAAATTCATAATATAATCAAAGGAATCTAATAGACCTTTCTAAAAATCACAGGAGTTGTCCATAACTGTGTGCACTGAAGTATATATATTCTTGAGTTTAAGGGTTAATTAAATTTTTTAGAACTGCACAGCTGCAATGCTGAAATCCAAATATTGAAAATATTAAATCAGTTCACCCATTACTGACATTTCCAAGACAAATTTGAATGAATTGAGCCCTTTCAAACCTGTCTATTGCAGTTACTATGCAGCTAACAGCTCTTCTAGTAAAGTGCTAAACACATATCTCCACAAGCTAAAGGTAAATGCACCATATTCATACCATTTTGTCTTTTTTTATCCATTTTACCTAGTTTATATAGCAGTTACATAGCATAGAGATCTTCCCTACAGATATTCAGAGACTAGAAAATTGGACTTGAACATATACTGTTCCTTGTCAGCTATTCTTTAAGTCCATTCTCTGATGTCTGTTAGATACTCATAAAAAGACGGAGAAGGCCTGGAATAATGGTTTTAACTTTTTTTTTTAATGGGAAAAGGACTGCTAGATTAATCCTATTCCTGTGGTAGAGTAGACAACTAAGTTCTTTTCTGGTGATTTTGCTTTGGATTCTCTTGTTTTCAGGAGGCTCACCTCCGCAATTTGTAAAGCAAAGTCTAGCTTGGTGCAAGGTAAATGTGCTGACACATGTTGGTTCCCAGATCGGTGAACTTTCATATCACTCAGGTCATGCTGGTGAATTTATTGAGGTTACTAATGTTTCCTCAAATGACAATTTGTTAAAGCAAATCCTCCCATGCAGGATAGTTTTTATGCTCTGACTCAGCAATTAGAATTTTCACAAACCACTGCTGATCTGTTAATGCTGGCGTGCCAAACCTGCCCCGTGCTTAAATGGTTAAAATAATCTTTGTTTTTTTAAAAATTCTTCTTTGATTTTAATAATATGGGGGAGCTAAATAAGAAACTACTATTCCCATCAAGTAGAACAAAGTACCTAACATAGATACTCACTCCTTTTGTCAGACATTTTCATTTCTGAATGAGGCCCACAATATGTCATGTTTGCTACCTAGGAGTCCACATATTTGATGCAATGTAGAAATTAACAAACCAGGAGAACTGAAATAAAAACTATTAATTTCTTTCTTTTTTAACACACAGCTTTTACAGTAATTTAAAAAAAAAACTTTACAAACAAAAACTACTTCATTTTATGAAATGGCTTTCTGTGCAGTTGTATAGCAATTTACATGTAACTCCTGGGCCGAACACTTCAAATCAAGATCATAATCACTGATATTATCACCTAAGAACTGTAATGTCTTTCTTCCTTGTGTTCATTGAGACATAGCTCAAATGGCAAAACAGCTCTTCCATCTCCGTAAATAGAAATCAACAAGGCCCAACTGTCCTAAGTAAACAAAACATCTTTGATGCTTCAGAATGACTGCCTAAAAGGCTAGACAATGAATGTTCCCTCAAACTTCTAACATTGACTGTGACTGAATGGGATTCAATGATAACATTATTTCTCCCCCTCTTCCTCCTCACAACCACTTTTTGAAAAAAGGAAGCTGGCATGAATGAGTAATATTGGAGTAAAGTGTTCAACATGGTGCTCATTAGCATCAATGGGAGTGGAGCTCCCATTATGAGCTCAACATACTAAGCTCAAATCTCCTCTCATTGATAACAGTTTAACACCAGTAACTCCATTGACTTCAGTGATCTATACTACTTTAAATGAGAAGAGAATCAGGACTAGTATCTGGAATACATATTCTGACAGAAAGTGTTACCAACTCTCGTGGTTTTATTGTGAATCTCACAACATTTGTTATTTTCTTAAAGCCATGGTCCTGAATTAAACTGATTATGGAAGACTCTCACCTCTCTAGTTCTCATGGTTGCAGAAAAAATCTTGAAAACAAACCCAAATGTACGACAAAGGCTCAACAATCAGAAGGCAAATAAAAAGAACCAGTTTTTAAAAAATCTCATGATTTTTAAATCAGTCTCGTGATTTTGTGGGCTTGACTCATGAGTTTTGAATGTGTGTAGATGGCAATACAAAGTAAACCTACTACCCCAAAACAGATTCCCCACAGTCACCACCAGCTAATAAGAAATAGTGAGGGAAGAACCTTCCATCTGTAGGTGAGGCCCTTCCATTTGGCTACAGGAATTAATCCAGTAGTTTGAGAGTGGGAGGAGGGGGTGCATGGAATGGAAATCAAACTTTTATTGCTACACCAATATCTGAAAAGGGAATTTACAGGAATTTAAAATCCTGACTACAGGTCACTGTCTACTTTAAACAACCCTCCCCAGCTCCACGCCTAGTCTCAGCAGGAGAGGATTTGGTTGGTTAGAGAATCTGTGCCCCCAAAAAACTGTGCCTCCCCTCTTGCTTCATCGGGTTGGAGGCATGGTCAATGGACCAAAAATGAGTATCTGCCACTCTCAGGAGGGAGAGAAAGGGATGAGAGCGCTAGAGGTAAATGAGATCTGGGATTTTCATTAGTGGATCTTGTGCCTGTAAGGAGATGGGGAAGCCCAAAGCCCCTGCTGGTAACCTCTATTCTCTGGGCAGTCGGAGGGTTAGAGGACTCAGAAGTGAGCTGAGTTCTCAGGGACAGGTCTATACCAAATTATTCGTTATCTGGTGGGAGCCCCATAATCTCACACGAGATCCAGGTAAATGTCTGGTGTATGAGATGGGAGGGAATATATAGCCCCTACCAATGTCAATAAAGTTGTGGTCTGCTGCCTAAAATCCATTCCAATGTCTGTCTTTCATTCACCTATGTGTCCTAATCACCATGAGAGTTGAGGGTTAGAAGTTATTAAAAAAACTGTTCACTGTTCAACTAGAAACTTTAGTAGACAGCAGAGTAATTACAACAGTGTCTGTGTAGCAAGAGCCACACAGACTTCTTAAGGAGGTCATGCAGAAACCTGTGAAAAAATGCCCGAGAGGCAATATGAGTAATGTTCTAAACTCGGAATAATGCCAGTTGGTTTTGGGAATCTGCCTTCTAGTGGTATCTGAAACAGAGAGATGTAATCTCAGCATAATTTTATAGTGGGAAAAGGACTGCCGTTAGGCTACAATTCTAAAAATCATTCAAAGCTAATTACATTGATTAATTTGCAACCATGCCAAAATAAATAAATGAATAACAGAAACAATTAATACATATTCTTAGTTTGCCCAATCTTGCTCCCATTTAACTCAATGGGAGTTTTGCCACTAATTTTAATAAGATTCGGGAATAGGACGAGTGTTTCTAAACATAATTTTTCAATGATACATTGAATGTAAAAAGCACACACATGTTGAACATCTACTATGCTGTATTTCAATAGCCAACCCAGGACCATATTTCCAATTTGTACAGACTGGTTTAGTATAATCAGAAATCTTTGGTATTGATAAGCTAAGCACCTGCATCAAGCAGTTATGTCAAACAAAGAGCTGAAATTTTGCAATTTTTCTTCTTTAGAGGCATACTTTCTGGTTAAAAATATATTTATTTATTTTTTAAATAAACATCTATACCTATGCTGCTTATAATATAGTGGAAGATTAAACTGATTTTTTTTAAATGGAATGTACTTTTCAACATTAATGTTTGCTTTTTGCATTTAGTTCAAGTTGGTCAAGAAAAGAAACTGGTCAGTTTCACTTTCCACATCTCATCACTAGCACCATGCTGCCATTTTTTGATTGCATTGCCTGTAGATTAATGTATCTAATCCAAACAAAAACCTGTTTTAATTGGAATGTTTTAAAAATAAGAGGAAAATTTCTATTGAATTTAAATTTGATGAAGTCAGATAAAGTGACCAGGTTAAATGTCGGGCCTCTGGTGTCTTGATGGTATCCATTTAAAATGTGGGAGATGGGCGCAAGCAAGGTTTCCTTGCCATTCTTACCTTCAGTTTTAAAGAGTTAAGTTTCTCCTCCCTTAGATGGTCTCTTAACATCTCTCGATGAAGCCTCTCCTGTTCCATTGCAAATTCTCCAAGGGAGTACTGACGCACGCTGTTGTGACGAGTGGACATGCCCAATGTGCTTCCTCCTTGACTCGGGACACTGGTGAAGCCTTGCCTTCTTGTGAAGTAGTACACGGTAACACAGTTAAAATGAACATTCTTTGTCCTTTTCCGCTTCTCCCTCTTCAGGATCGATGAAGCTAAAATGGAAGCCAGTTATAATGTTAATGAAAAACCTGTTGGTTACATAGCAAATCTTTACTTATCGGGGTAGTCCCATTAACTTTAAATCAAATGGGATACTCACACAAGCAAAGTTTTGCAGGATTGAGTCTCCTGTGAGAGGGGTATTATTAGAAAATAACCGTAAAGATTTGCAATAAACATTTTACGTGAGACAACAGAATTTGGCTAATAAATATATGACATATTTCTTATTCAAGTTAAGCCAAAGTGTTTAAACAAAGTAAGAAGTCAGACAGCTTCTGTGTTTGCTTGCACTATTACAAAACCATACACTTGTGGACACTGTCATCTATTTTAAGAGTGGAGGTAATGTTGGCCAGGACACTCAGGTTAGTCCATACTCTTTTCACAATGTTTTATCTTTCATCAGGAAAATAAATGAAGATTGGAAGAAGCCATCTCAGTGTAACTTAGCATCTGAAAGACACTGGCACTGACTTACACTTCAGAAAATCCTATTGATGTCAATAGGATTGCATGACACGAGGCAGGGGAAAGGTGGCCCAATTTCTCACACCGTGTAATATAGATCTACTGCCACTGTGTCTATAAGATTCTAGTTGAAGATTTCTAGTATTTTATAGTTGGAATTATTGTCCCTCTTTTTAGGAGTAAGGGAAGATTCCAAGCACTACTATTTTGTATTCCAGAAAAAGAGAACTGAGCTTTAGAAAAAACTATGAAGCAACATTTTACTGTCACCCAGGGACCTAGAAATCCGTAATAATAATGGGAAACCTGTCACAGGATGATACTATATAAATAATACTGATTTACAACTACACTCCTCTCCTTTGTCTCCACCCATCCCACTGCTGCCACCCAGTGAACAGTTCATTGTTACATGTGAAGTCAGCGTAAGTCTATTTCCCCTCTTCTTTTTTCACCTTCTCACACTCCTCTCCTTTCCCTCCTTCCTTAATTCACTTGCACACAAATGTAGCTCTACAAGATGTGCACTAATTTAAAAATGGTGCCATAGGTCTTGTTTCTATCTTTAAATATTTGTTCTTTGTTGTACAGATATTTAGAGATTCCTGTAATGATATTCAGTAGTTGACATTCAAAAGTGGCTGTGGTTGGCCATTAGAGCAAATTAAGAGCAACAAACTAGTTCCTTGACTTTAAGATATGACAGCTTATTTTATTTTATTATAAAATGGTTATAGGAAATCAAGAAACTAGATGATGTGTTAACAGCCATGCAATTTAGATGCAACAATTGCACAGGTATGATATGAGAAACCTATCTGTCAGAAAGAATAGAGTAGTGGTCCCCAAACTGTAGGGCGCACCGTCCTAGTGGGGAGTGGAGGAACATCCAGGGGGGTCCAGAAGAGCCCAGACCACCCCCACAGGGGGGTGGGAAGGGAACGCCACCCAGCCCCACTCTGCCCCCCGCTCCTCTCTGGCCCCGCCCCTGGCCCCAGCCTCTGGCCGCAGACGCTGCCCTGGCTCTGCTCCCAGCCCCCAACCCCCACTCTTCACCACAACTCTTTTGTTATGGAACAAAAAAATTGTGATAAGAAATAAAAACAGAACAATTCTACATGAGGAAATTAACAGACAACAAAATAAAACATTTTTCACTCTCCTTAAAATAGTGGTGCTAAGAAAAACTGACTTTCATTAAAAATATCAAAGCCTTGTTAACAAAAGTAGACCTTTCATATTTCACACACAGACCCAAAATATTCTGATTCTCAGCACTGCCATGAAACATTCTCACTTCTACTAAATATGATTTTGTTACAATTATCGTGTGGTCCACGATATATACTTCTCAAGAAATGTCCTTCAGGTGTGCTACATTTAATTGGCATCATATATAACCACTGAGTACAATGCCAGAGGCCCTATATTATTTTACAGAGGCTATTTTATTACTTTTTTTTTTTAATTGCAACTCTGAAACAACTTTATAGTGCTACGCCAAAGATAGGTAGGATGCAAATATGAAGATCTCTGTTATTAGTAGAGCTAGTTAAAAAAATTTCAATGGGACAGTTTCCACTCCTCCCCTGGAAATGCAGTATTTGCTGAAATCAAAATATTTGCAGGAACATGTTGATTTTAACAAAATATTTGACTGGAGAAAATTGAAACATCATTTTAGCTTTCTAGTTTAATTTTGATAATGTTGAAACATTTTAACTTTTATCAAACTGACCCATTGCATTTAACTTTTAGCATTATATTGTATGTAGTATTTTATCTAAAATCATGTTTAAACATTATCAAAACAAAACTCTTTGCCTTATTGAGATAAAACTGTTGAGTGAGATAAAACAGTAAATTTTGAAATTTCAATTTTTCATTCAGATTCAAAATGAAAACAAATTTTGAAATGTCACAATTTCCTGCAGAATGCAAATTTTGTTTTCCCAATCAGCACTAGTTATCAGGCTGGAGCATCCCAGAAATCCTGCTCTCACACACTGAAAGGAGGAGTCATGTGGGCTGTTCTGGGATTGGTGGCAGGGAATCTGTGGAGTAGTACTGATATTATCTTTCATCCTTAGCAGTAGTTGCACGCCTGCCTCCCAACCAAGTAAACAAATGCAGTGTTTACAGCTACCAACAGGAATGAAACAACAGCAGGCTAGGTTAAAGATTAAAATAAGATAGAAAGAAGGAAAATTAGAGATACAAAATGGAAAGTAAAAAAACATTTTACTTAATGAATGACTTAGAACAGTGGTTTTCAACCTGTGGTCTACGGACCCCTGGGGGTCCACAGACTATGTCTATGATTTCCAAAGGGGGCAGCACCTCCATTTGAAATTTTTTAGGGGTCCACAAATGAAAAAAGAAAGTGTACATGTCTGTAAAGTGCATACACTAAATACCGTATTTTCCGGCGTATAAGACGACTGTGCGTATAAGACGACCCCCAACTTTTCCAGTTAAAATAGAGAGTTTGGGATATACTCGCCGTATAAGACTACCCCTCTTCCAACGCACACCAAAAAAAAAATTAAAAAACATCAGATTTGATTTCAATATGGTAATTTTAATTCAAATGCTTATG